ACCAGAGTGCATGTGATTCCCAGGCGTGCATGTTTCGATCCCCGCAAATGGAAGACACCGTCCACAGCCCAGAAGGAAGTCCTGCTTGAAAGCCTCGGTCTTGTCAGGAACACTTTCAGTGTATCGTGCCATTCCCATAAGCCACTCGATCCCCTACATCAAGTTTGGCGCGAATCCAGTGAGTCCCCTGCTGTGCTTTGGATCGGAAAGAGCATTTTCGCGAAGAGCCCGACTCATCCCCAAGGCGCGTCCCCCTTCGATGGCCAAGCAGACCAAGAACGTATGGGACTTGAACAAGGCGGAGTTGATCAAGCTCGCCTCGGAGGAAGGGATTGTGTGCCACAGCAGTTGGACGACGGGAGAGATCAGGTCACTGATCCAGGAGAAGCGCACGACGGAGAAGTCCTCAGTCCCGAAGGGGCTGGCCAACATGACCCTGGACGAGCTGAAAAGGAAGATGACCGAGTTGGGTCTGGTCATCCCGCCGAAGCCGACGAAAGGGCTACTGGCACGAATGATTCGCGACTCTACCAAGTCGGCCGCGGAGGAAGTCGTCTGCTTCGGGAGGTACAAGAACTACATGTACAAGGAAGTGCCGGAAGGGTACTTACGCTGAGCGGTGCAAGAAGTGGAAGCGAATTCCAACGCATCAATGGACCTCCGCAAGCTTGCGAACTACGCCAGGGAGAAGTTCAACCCGGTGGACGTCGAGGACCCGGAGACGAATGCGGCCGTGAAGTACATCCCTTCGGAGGTGGACTCCTGGAGCGACGGCTACTCATCGAGGTGGACGACGGTGTCAGCGCCAGCGGGATCGCAGGCCCCACACCCGCCGAAGGCGAAGGGCGGCAACCCCAAGAAGACGCACGCGAGGACCGACGACTACGAGACCAAGCCGATGAACCAGGACGTGCCCCCGGAGGTGCTGGAGGAGCTCAAGAACCTGTCCACCCAGATGGCGTTGATCAAGAGCAAGTACGGGCTCCACGACCTCTAAGTCAACAGGAGTGCGGCGGTGGAGAAGGCCGTTACCAGGACTGTGCGGAGGACGTAGACTTCCCGATGTCGCACGAGCACTACGAAGGCCGGTACCAGGACTGTGTGGAGGATGTAGACTTCCCGATGCCCTACGTGTACCACGACGACACCGCCGATGACACGTTTCAGGACTGCTTTGAGGAACACGTCGAGGTGGCCAAGGACATTGAGACCCTCGCCAAAGATCTTCTACGAGTCGGGGATTTTTGGTCGGAGGCTTGCAGAGAGCTAGCCGCGAAGCTTTGTTTGTGGCAAGGTGCTTGCAAGCGCAAGATGCTCAACGGTGTCGGCAGAGCCGTGGCCCTTGGAGCATTTACTCATGGGGGAGTCCATGGAGTTATCAACAACACCTACAACCTCAAGCACACGCTTCGCTACATCAATAAGTTCTTGCGGTCCAAAGGAGCGAAAGGGAGATGGTCTTCTGTGAGCATCGGGCTGAACACTCAGCCTGGGATCCACCGCGATGCCCACAATATCGACTACAACCAGACGATCACTTTAGGCCCTAATCGTGGGGGCCGACTGTGGATCGAGGACCCTAAGGACGAGATACCTGGCGAGGCCCACGGCGTCAAGCTCCCCAACGGCAAGAACATCGATGGGAAGTACGTCGACACTGTGGACAGTGTCTTTGCTTTCGATCCCCACAGGCGTCACTTTGTGGAGGACTGGGATGGCATCAGGGTGAGCATCACGGCGTACACCGTGAGGGGCATCAATGCTATTGGGACTGAGGAACGAGATCTACTACGAGCGCGAGGTTTTCCTTTGAAGGCTACAGTGTCCGCCGTTGCCGACGATCACCAGAAGGACGCCTACGACAAAGAGACCCAGCTGAGGCCAAAGAGCAGTGTGAGGAAAGGCCTGTGGAGAAGTGCCATCAAAGCGAGCGCCATGATCACCATGACTATGTCGGCGGCAAGCAGCTACATCTCGGAGACTTTCGCGAGGCCTGCTGATGATAGAGTGGCCATCCTTGAGATTGGTGGCACCGAGCAGACGTACTATGCGGCCGAGATCGGCGCCATAGTCTCCGAGCCCCTCGATTACGACTACATTCAGGAGTTCGGCGCTGGGGCGGTGTGTTCACACATCGAGGACGTAAGGCCTCGGGTACTATGGCTACACCCGACAGCCATCCGTGGGAAAAAGACCCCAGGACTCAAGCAGCTCGTGGAGGCTCAGTTGTCCGGTGGCGGAGATGTTGTATGTGAAGCAAGAGATCACATTGCATGGTGGCGAGACTCCGAGGTTGGCGAATATCTCGCTGACATACGAGAACATGAAAGAGAAGAAGGAGGTAGACTTGTTCTTCATCTACGACAACCAGAACATGATCCCGAGACCGTCTATGTCGTCAATGGTGATGAAAATACGACGAAGACCAGAGAGGACAAGAAGGGGGCAAGCGCTATCCGCTTCGATTCCAAAGTTGCCCCGCATATACGTGCAGCACTCACTCGGCTGCATCAGAACCTCGGCCACCCCGCGGTCCATGACTTGGTCCGCCACCTTCGACTTGCGGGTGCGGATGGAGCCGTGATCTCTGCAGCGAAATCCCTCCGCTGCGAAACTTGCCATAGATGCCAGAGAACAGCGGCCTCAAGACCGGCGAGTTTGCCCACTATGCTGGATTTTAACCAGGCCGTGGCGGTGGATGTTTTTCACGCGTTCGACTCCGAACAGGTCCGGCATGAATTCCTTTCTGTCATTGACCTCGGCACTCAGTACCACCTGGTGAAGAAAATTGATGGTCACAGTGGCCAGGACTTCGAGATCAATTTCGTGGACCTTTGGAGTCGCACGTTCGGGACACCGACCGTGATCGCAGCAGATCTAGAAAGTGGTCTGCAAGCCGGCCTGGCGAAGTACGCTGACTTCTCCGGTGCTAAGCTGAGGCCTTCCGCTGCCCAGGCGCACTTCCAGCAGGGAGTCGTGGAAAGACACGGCCAATGGTGGCAGGACATCTTCATGAAAGTCGTCGACGAACATTCTGTTACAGATGAGGACGTGGCTCTAGCAGTTTCCTCTGTCAATGAGGCGAAGAATAACCTATGTAGACGACATGGGTTTTCCCCGGCACAGGCCGTCTTTGGCAGAGAAGTGAAAGCTCCGGAGGACTTATGTGGAGGCAACGACGAAGAGATGGTCCTGGATATCTTGACGACGGACAAAAGGAGGCAACGCGAGGTCGCGATACGGACAGCAGCCCGTCTCGCCTTCTTCAGGTCGCAGGTGGACACGAAGTTGCGGAGGAGTTTGATCCAGAGAGCTCGCGTGAAGAGATCCGAGTACGCCCCCGGGGAAATGGTGTGCTTCTTTCGGCACGACAAAGCCAGTACAAAGAGAGGAAGATGGCGTGGTCCTGGTCTGGTGCTGGGACGTGAAGGACCCAACTGGTGGGTCAGCTACGCTGGAAGGTGCCATCTATGCGCAGAGGAACACATGCGCCCCAGCACTGCCGAGGAGGTCGGGGACGCATTCACCTCTAGAGTGGCCCGTGCAGATCTTGAGAAGTTGCTTTTCAGCGATCCTCATGATCCCAACAGCTATGCTGGCAACGAGGAGGAGGACTATGAGGAACCCGGCGATGATGAAAATCTTTATCGCGGATGGGACATCGTCGTCGACGAGGACGAGCACATGGAGTCGGTCGAGCACAAGCAGCAGACGACGGAGGTTCCAGACGAGGAGCTCGACCAGGTCCTGGAGACCCCACCCGAGCTCCACGAGAAGCAGTCGAGAGTCCTGAGAAGGGCCAGGCACAAGCAAGCGGGACGACCCAAGCCGTATCCGGTCTACATGCTCAAGCAGTGCTTCACGGAGCACTCCAAGGAGAAGCAACTAGAAAAAGAAATGCCGTGGAGATTGATACCGCCTGAAAAACATAGCCTCTTCAAAGCGGCAGAGGTCAAGCAGATCAACGAGCACCTTGACCACAAGGCGCTCACGATTTTGACCAAGACCGAGACTGACGAGATCTACAGGACGGTGGCCCCGGAGAGAATACTCAACAGCCGGTGGGCGCACCGCGACAAAAACTACGCGAAAAGAAAGGGCGACGACAAGATCGAATGGAAGGCCAAGGCCCGGCTAGTTATAGCCGGACATCAAGATCCAGACGTCACCAGCCTCACCACAGATGCACCGACGGTGAACCGCTTGTCAGTCATGGTTCTACTCCAGATCGCCTCCAGTCGACGAGCTGGACCTGATCCATGGGAAGCCGGCGCAGGCGACGTTTGCGCAGCTTTCCTTAACGGGAAGCCGCTGCAGAGGACGTTGTTCATGAAGCAACCCCGCACTGGAGTCGTTGGGATGGAAGAAGGAGCTATCTTCCGGGTCGAGAAAGGGATATTTGGACTTCCAGATTCACCTCACTCTTGGTGGGTCGAGTTTCAGGAGATCATCGGACGAGTGGAGTTCGCCTACGAGGGGAACACCTACAAGTTGGGACAGTCGCCAGTCGACCCCTGCGTCTTCTTTGTCCAAGGTCCCGAGGACAAGGAGCCGCGAGCCTACCTGGCGGTGCACGTCGACGACCTACTGACTATTGGCCCGAGAGGGCTCTCACGATGTTTGAGAACAGCCCTAGACAAGGAGCTGCCAATCGACGAATGGGAGGTGGACGACTTCGACTACATCGGTTCCCACATCACTCTTGGAGAGGAAGGGGTGATGATCACACAATCAAACTACGCGGCTACACGATTGTTCACCATCGATGTTGACAAGGACGATGCCGAGGACAAGCCGGCGTCCTTTGAGCAGCGGATCGACAATCAGTCACTGATCGGAGGTCTGAGTTGGCTTGCTGGACAAACAAGGCCAGATCTGCAGAGCTCCGTGTCCCTCGCCCAGCAGGCTCAAAAGACACCGACGGTTGGCGATATAAGGTTCACCAACAGCATCGCGAAGAAGGCCCTGGACTACCAGCACAAGGGGATACACCTCAAGCCTATACAGCTCAACGACCTCGAGATCCTTGTGTACCACGACGCGGCTTGGGCGAACGCGCTTCCGCACGACCTCGCCGGGGAAGAGGACTTCTGCTTGAGTCCCGAAGACCATGAAAAGGGCTACATGACACAGATGCCAGAAAGCTTCCAGGTGCGCAAGGCACAAAGGTGGCTAGCCAATACGGGCTCCTCGTGCTGTTCACCGAGAAGGGCGTCATCAACGATGGACGGCCGGTCAGCATCATCGACTGGAAGTCTACTACGGCGAAGCGGATCTGCAGATCAACCTTTGCCGCAGAGACCATCGCTTGCACGGATGGCGTCGAAGTTGGGCAGTATGTGAGGTCGTTCACTCGGTGTATGCTCGATGGATACCTGAGATCCGTCGAAAGACTCGGAGGAACGAGCCTCCGCTTCATCACTGACTGTAAGTCCCTTTTTGATCATTTGCACCGTGAGGGAATACCTCGTGTGCCAACGGATCGAAGGCTGGCAATAGACCTTGCGGCCTTAAGACAAGCTTTGAAGGAGGAGCGACGTGATGGGGTGATTCCGTTAAGCTGGCTCCCGACTTCTTACCAGCTTGCCGATATCCTTACGAAACCTCTGAACCCTAGCGATTTCTGGAGCAAGACGGAGTCACCTGTGAGAATCCCGCTCGTAGCCAATGCTAAACTTGGCTGATTTTGAAGCAGTGTCAATCCCAGGACTTCTGTGGCGATCCGACTCGCCGGCCCGAGGCACAAGGGTTGGTCTTTTGCGGATGAGAAAAGCTCTCTGCTGTGCGGGAGCTCAGGAGGGTCTTTTGGTTGCGTTCGGTGGTGACTTGTCGTTGCGTCTGTTTTGGTTTTACATTTAGGGTTTAGGGGTTTAGGGGTTTAGGAGTCTTCCCCGAACCCAAGAATCAGAGACCGAGCAAAAATCAAACCAGCTCAGAGATTCGGGATTGGGCTTGGGGTCATGAAGTGATCGTAGGAAACAGTGGTCACGGTTCTTCAGGTCATGGTGGCAGCTCTGTCGGTGATGATCTTGATGATGGTGATCATGCACCGGGATGACGAGGATACCGAACGAGGGACGGCGGAGGAGGATGAGAATGAATAGAACTGGGAAACTTACAATCAAGCTGAGTCTGATTCCGATTGCGGTGATGATGATACATCCACAGTCGCAGTTGCTAATAAGAAGAGCAACGGCCACGGAGCAACATCGACGACACTTTAATTACCATATTTCTTCCACTGTGCTCGTGAACGGAACAGACCTCACTCGCATCAAGTTGTATCTGGGCACAGACCTGAGTGTTCAGGTTTTCGAGTTTGCGGCTACATCTGCAACTAGGCAAGCAATATAATGAGGTGGGTCTCGAGTTCTGCATACTTCGAAGCGAACCACTCGGTGGGAAGAAGTACTTCAAAAGACACCCCAAAAAACTGCGCTAAACTGTACGTAACACAGCACCCATGGGATAAACAACAACCACAGAACCCTAAACCCTAAACCCCTAAACCCTAAACCACAGACAACACCAGGAAAGGAGGTGCCTTAACCTTGGCAAGTGGCGGCATCTACAGCACGCAAGGACAGAGCAGCCTGTGGGTGGTATCTTAGGTGGAGAGTTTAGGGTTTAGGGTGTTTAGGGTTTTAAGGGTTTTTAGGGTTTTTAGGGTTTAGGATGTTAGGGTTTAGGGTTTGATTAGACCAGGCCTAGGGTTTTGGGGGTGGATCAAACAGCACGTGTCATGAGAAGCCCTGGGAAATGATATTGGAAGTATCCAGGCCCTTATGGAATGTGTGCGGCTTGGAAAAGTCGAACCCTAATTAAGCCTTATTGTTGCAAGACAAAAAAAGTTTCGAGGGTTCTACCACCTGGTTTGGTTCAAGGACAGTGGGGTTGGGGAGAAACGAAATGCAAAGACGCACTGCCCAAGTGCGCATTGTAAATATTGTAAGGAAGATCTTCTCAGTTCAGGAATGTCTTTCAAGGTAATCAATCACTTTTCGCGAACCGGAACACAGAACGCCGAACCGCTCAAATTGAGGCTTCTGATTCGGCGGTGTCATACATCGCCATGCCCTCAAATGATACGCCTCAACAGTTCAACTTTTAGAACCACGGTTGCTGCTCCGGTCGGCATAAACCGCAAACCCCACGAGCAAACGAATCAAGAAGTGACTCAAACTTTCCGGCCTTGCGCAAATCCGATGCCACAGCCCCACGGCGTTTCGAAGCCTCAGGTTCAAGGCTTTCGGACGAAAGTGGCCCGGGCTTTCGGTTGACTTGGAACCTTACAGGGGGATATGCTTTATATGATTATATGTCTTTTTTTCTTGGGGGGGGGAGGAGCTGCTGCAAATCGGGAACCATTCAATAACTTTATGCATGCCCAACCCTTGTTCCCATCAACTCTGAAGCTTGAACATACGCAGAACCCCTGAACCGTAAACACGGATGCCTGCCCATAATTTAAGGCTTCAGCCTGCTGCACGAACCCTAAGGACCAAGGACTAGTACTCTACATATACTAGTATTTACCCAGGTCCCTATACTAACATGAACCGTTTGTTTCAGCTCGGCTGTTCCAAGATGCCTTCCATGCCTCATCCGGTGCTGGCCTGTGGCTTGAGGGATGCATGGTCAGTCGGGCTTTGAGGAAAAGGGCAGTAGGAAGAGGGATCTACAACAAGTGAGTGTAGATTGGCTTTAAGGTATCGGGGCCCTGGGATTGGCGTACATTTATCGTGTGGGCATATAGGGCCGCAAAGGTGACACTGCGACAGACTAGATACTGTTCCTATTTAGTCACACACACACCTCTAATCATAACAACAGAGGCTAGGACTTGAGGAATACGGCTCTCGGGGCTGAAGCCACGGACCGACCCCTCTAAACCTGAATCCTTAATTTCATCCCAATCCTTCCTACTCTTTCCGCAGCTCTTATCTCACATGCCCGAGGCTTTTCCTGCAGCTTGGGGGGGAATGTCTGAACGAATCAGCAGGCAACGTTTTCACAAACGCTCTGGAACCATGATGAGGTCCTGTTAAAATCCTATCCAGATCCTGACACCTCTGAGGGTCCAAGGTGGTGCACGATTCACCTAGCAATCCGGTACTCCCTAACCTTCCCTACTAAATCCCTATCACCCTCCCGCCTTGCAGAACCTCCATCAAGGATCCTGTTTTTCGAATCCTGCAACCTTCAAGACTTCAGGTCGCTGATCATTAGAAACGACGCCATGTTCACAAAACTCCTAAAAAGCTCACAGGATGTTTTGCTACGGTTGATGATATACATCCTGCACTACCCACAATAGGGAATATACCAACATTCCCATAGTTTAGGGTCCTTAAGGCAACGCAGGATTTATGTCATCAACGGTACTTTGAGCTTTGAAAAAGGAGACCAATTCACAACACTCCTAATAAGGCTCACTTTGAGGTTTAGGGTTTAGGGTTTAGGGGAGCTCAAAAGGAGACATGGGGGAGGCGTGGAGGACCTCCCCGGCTTCTCCCAGCGAAGCGACCCGCGCCACTGCGGGTAAAAGAGGTCGGCTCCTATGACTCTCGTGGAGTTTCTCTGTTTTTTGAGGGCCTTGATAGTTGGGGTTTCCGGCTGCCGTTTTAAGGATCAGGGCCTCGGCTGAGTGTAAGGATATTGAGTTTTTGCTTCAGGTGTTTGGTTTGAGTTGGGTTTGGGGTTCAGTTCGAAGCCCATATCAGGGAGTGGAGGTTTGTACGTAGGGTTTTGGGCGGTTGGGCACCCACGGGCTGTTTGCAGGGCTTGGTTAGCTTTTCTTAGGCCGGAAGGGGCCGGGGATTGGGGAGGGGGCAGGTTGCGAAGGGTTAGCATGGAAAGATCGGGACTGGCTAGGGGTCCGATTCTGGTGGATCTTTGCAAGGGAGGAATCGGCTGCGAAGTCTGCATTATACGGTCACATGTACACTCTGAAACTCGTATTCAGAATACTTGAGGCACTTGCGGCTGTAGGATTCTACAGATGATGGCTTGATGTTTCAAAGTGGTTGAGATTGGTATGATGTTAAGGCCATTCCTCTGAACCCTAAACCCTAAACCCTAACCCGGGAAGCACTGAAAGCCATTGGGAGACGGCGCAGGATCCAGGCTTTCAGTGTAGGGGTGCTTTAGAGTCTGCAGTTCTAGCAGCTTTCCTTCCTAAACCCCAAACCCTCATAAACCCTGAACCGCAAAATTTTATACACTTTGAACCCTCAATTTCTAGAAATGTTGAACTCTAAACCCATGTAAACCCTACACCCCGAAGCCTCGAAGCAGCGGCCCCTCCCAAAAACCGAGCCTTTGTCGGGGAAGAGCTCGAAGGCCTCCCGCAGCCGCGCATCTCCAAAAGACTCGACCTTGAGCAGAACATGAAGGGTCCAAGGAGTCCTGATAGGGTTTAGGGTTTAGGGGCTTACGGTTTGGGATTTCGGGTTTAGGGTTTTGCATGACTTTGCGAAGACTTACGCCTTTGGGGTTTGGGGAGAGGCATGGGGCTGTGCAACTTGAGGTGCATGGGGGACTACAAGGTCTGTTTAGGGTTTAGGGTTT